CAAGCATTTTTTACTTACTACAGAACATCCACCTTACAATCGAGTCTTGATGGGGGCACCTGGGTGGCTCATTCGGTTAAGCGTCTGCCTTCAGCTCCTGTCATGATTTCAGGGCTCTGGGATCGAGCCCCACATGGGGCTCCCTGCTCAGTGGGGAGTCTGCTTCTCCCTCTCCCTCTGCTGCTCCCCCTGCTCATGCTCTCTCTCTATCTCAAATAAATAAATAAAATCTTTAAAAAAAAAATCAAGTCTTGATACAGTACATCCAAGGTGGAGACTCTGCCCCATCGACACTGAGATTCTCAGCTCCCAGCGAGACCTGCTACAGCAGGCCTGCCTTGTGATCTGGTATATTCTTATGAGTACCCACCTCCCTGGCCATGATTATGGCATTGCATTTAATAAATAGTAATAGTGGTTCCTGCTATATCTACCTGGAACAGACCTGAGTTATAGGAAATGATTTCAGTTCTTCCCAAACAGAACCAAGAGCACGTTTGTGAGCAAAATAAAATCCATTGTGAAGGGGTTTTGTGGCTCTTTAAAATTTCTTTTCATAAACTAAAGCTCATTTTCCTAGAAACACATCTAACATACTGCAAAATAAATACTAAATGAGAATAAAGGATCACTGTATATGAAAGTATTAGGAGCAGAAAGACTAAATTCATAGTCTTTAAACAATCTTTAAAATTCTGTTACGTGTTTTCAGCCCCAAATCAGTTAGTCTTATTCCACAGAATCCTGCCTCTTCATGCATGGTTTTTTTCTTGAGCCAACTAGCTAGCCAGTGGAGTATACCAACTATTGTGTGTAATTTATTAATTTGCAATTGAAAATTTGAGGTTAATTCCAGTATGAATATTCATGCAGTTTTTTTTTTTTTACTCTTTTAACCAGGAACCACATTTAGCTATTTGCATGTTTTACTGTAGTTTGGCATTGATAGTACCTTCTGGAAAATAGCCTCTATCAGATCTGTTCCCTCTGTGATTAATTGATATGATCTCTTTAAAATTGTTTTACGTGTTTTTCTTTAGATTATACAGGGAATCAAATGATACAATTGCTCATAGGGACTGAGGGGGAATCTTTTAATTTACCTGGTTAGGGGATTTCCCCACCCATACTAGATCTTGACCCCAGCTTCTACTAAGCAAAGGAAGGCCTTGACTGAAATGCAAAGGGGAACAGGAGAGTTAATGCCCACAGGCCTGAGTCCGTGAACATTTTTAAGGGTCATTATGGCTATACGTGGTTTTTGCCTCCAGAGCTTCCCTGGGTGTAAGACATGAAGCCACTGCATAAGGAAAATTCAACGTTTGATATACTCTGGTGCTAAGTAGCTGCAGTTCCGAAAATGGGCAAGACATTCATGAAAATCCAAATTTATAGCACGAATTCAGACTCTTAACTCGTAAGATGAGGACTCTAAGTGTTGTAAATTCCGCCCCACACTGGATGTCGTCCTTTAAAGATCGAACTACCTCAGTAAACAATAGAATCTGTCAGTGTATTAGCAATCTGTCTTTGCTTGAAGAGCAGAGAATGATGCTGTCAAAGAAAGTCTGGTTTGTAAAATGATATTCATTTGGAATAGTGTGGTTTCTATCACAGGCATCCTTAGTAAGCAGAGAGAGCTCATTTAAACTAGCACTAGTAAGAGGAGATTCAACGATACAATTGGAGTTTTAACCTGTTTTTAAATATACGTGCAGATTATAGCTCATTACATGGTAGTAATGCACGGTGATTGTATTTACAAAATGGAGGAAATCCGAAGGTTTCATTGTGAAAATTTGAGATTAGTTTTCTCTATGTTTCAGAAAATAAAGCGACCCTCTTTTTGTTTTTAAGGAATTAGTTTGTTGCTTTGTGGCACCTGGTAGAGCATTAGCGCTGCGCTAGGAGGAGCTAAGGAATCTGCATAAGAGAAAAAGGGCCTGGAGAGCAGGAAGGGGGCAAATATGAGTCACCTTTGCTCTTGCTGCTATTGCCTCAAGTCCTAAAACCGACTCCTTTGTAAGAGGCTCATAACTGGGCAAGTTCACGTTCCTTGATCTGGTAAGAACACTTCAAAACAACAGTATTTGTCCGTCAGTAGAAAGTGGGCCAGGAAGTACTGACAGTTTCTGCATTAGGAGAGCGTCTCAGAAATCAAGACACTCTATGATCCCATAGGGAGTCTCCTGGCTCCACAGACACCTCCCGATATTTAGTTTTAGGAGTCGCAGCAAATGCTAGAAACACCAACTGCCTCTCTTGTCTCCTAAATCCTGCCGTAAGGCCCTCCTAAAATGCTGTCCTGACCCCTCCCCAACCCCTCTCGCCCCTCACCCGCCAAATGCTGCCTAGTGCCCTGAACCTCTCTTGTAGTGTTATCGCTTTGTACTTTATATATAGATATTTGTGTCTATATCTCATCTAGGGAGCCCGCCCTGAAACTCCTTGCGCATGGAGTTACACACACAGTAAATACGTCTGGACTCAGTCAGTTCAGTGCTCCCCGAGCAGTCTGCTCCTTAAGTGAGCGTGAGTGCTGCCCCAGGAGAACTGGCACGCTGAGCCACCGCATGGCAGACTCTCAAACACACTCCCTTTACATTGGGCCAAAAGGTCTCTAAATCAATATTATCTTTGAATGAATGAATTTTGAACAAGTTCTTACATAGTGTTTTGCTTATTCTGACAAATACCTATTGGGCAGTGACTGGGCATTTGGCTGAGTACAAAAGAGCGCATATTCTCACGAGAAACACAAACTCCCAACCAAATAAATGCAGTGCGGAAAGTGCTGGAAATATAGTTGGTAGAAAAGACTGAGTCTGTGAAGAAAGGAGGGGCTCATTTTTGCCTGATGGCTAGATGAGGTCCGTAGTCCTCAAACCAGGGTCAAGTCCTCCAGGGTGGGTTCTGGGCAGGTTCTGGAGTCTCAGGTCAGGTGGCTGAGTCTGACGCACCGGGTTGATGGCACCAGAATTCAGCAGGGATATATGAACGAGAGCAGTTGGTGTCTTCCCCTTTTGACCCCTGAACATTTAAAAGCTTCTATACCCCCTTAGCCCCTCATACAGCTACAAGCAGCTGCTTCTATAAAGTAAATTGAGATTACTTTTTTTAATGGCGTTTTGAGTGATATAGGAACACTTAGCAAAAATCTGAGATCAGTAGATTTAGAATAAGGTCTGAATTCAGCCATTGATATGTATAGCAAAATTCTGGTTATGAATGAAACTTCATCTTAGATGATGATGGTAAAATTCTCTCCATCTACTATTTCCACATTGAATCATTCAACAAATATGCATTGAGCACCCGGTGTGGGACAGGAGACGAGGGCACAGCCTCTGGCTCCCAGCAACGCCCCTACACACCCTTTACCAGCAGCATGACCCAAAACTCAGCAACCAGTCTGACAGCACTCTTCGGAGAGCGATGTTTACCAAGCATCCAGGGACCAAAAGTTGAAAGGCAAAGTGAAGCAGAGAAATGCAATGACTTCGTGGATAATCCAGTCAAGAATAGCATTTGGCAAGGGCAGGGCCCAAACTTCCTGCATCATCTGAATCATTTACACCCTCTTTACTTTGACCGCAGTGTGCTAGGCATTTTGAGAAGCACTAGGACAAACAAAAGTAAAAATTCCTATTCTCCAGGAGAAAAACTAATCCCAGATCCTCTTTTCTAATATGGTTTTAAAAATCTAAAGTAGCACCGGGTTTGCAAAGTGGTAAGTATGATTATCCAAGAATCAACTTTTATAATATATCTTACTTAAGTGAGATTTTCTTTTTTCCTAATGAAAGTTTACCGACTACGTTTCTTCATATTAAAGTTATTATTTTAGAGTTATGTTATAATCAACAGTAAATGACTTACTAGTTTAGGTTATGACTAATGAACTTCTATCTATTCAAGAATTTATTGAGTACTTACTATGTGCCAAGCCTGAGAGATACAAAGTCTGAGTTGCGGGCATCAGGAAGGGCCACAATCTAATAAATAATTATACAGTATAATAAATGCAGCCATACAAGTATGTCACATTAAGAGCAGTGACAGAGTGCGTGGCCGCCTCCACAGGAAGGAAGGAGTTCGCAAAGGCTTGGAAATGCAAGTGTTCGCTGGGTTGCCGGAGGAAAAGACAAGCTAAGTGTCCACAGAGTGCTAACAGTCTATTATTACCATCTGAGCTCATATTCTACTATGTAGAGTCCAAGTTGAACGGTACCTTCCAGGTCTTCTGCTCCAGCATCCCAGGCAAAAATCCCTGATGGGGAAGCAGGGTGACCAGTGCGTTGGTTTTCGGGTGCTCTGGGACATGGCTTCAGATTCTCCTCCCCGAAATAGGGGCGAAAGGTAGAATTAAACTGCCTGGGGCACCTACTCATCCTTTCTACTTATTTTATGGGTTAGTTTCCATAAGTTTTCACTGGAGGAAAAAAAAATGCAGTCCCCCAGCTGAAAATCACAGGCAGAGTGAAAAGAGCCATGGGCCTCTGGGTAGCCCCGTATTCGTGTGCTTAGGCAAATGAAGTGAAATTATTTCATGTAGGAGAAAGTGTCAAGTGTAATGCACTGAGTACATTCAGATTATTTTTAAGTCATTTTGTTATGATCTCTTTGGACCTAGTTCCTTCATTTCAAAAAAAAAATGAGGGTATTTCACCCAGAAATCTCAAGTTCCCTGTAGCTCCACAGTTAACATGAGTTTGTGATGATCTGCCTTCTCTTGACTGTTTCTGAGGACAAGAACGCATTTGCAGCGTGCTCCTGTTCGTTGCTTTTGAAGAGACTTAATGCTGGAATTAGAGCGTCTTATTTTGTAAGAACCAGTCACTGGTTTTATAAATTGCAAATACTGGCGCACAAAGCTGAAACCACATCGTTTGTAGGATAAGGACATTGCAGTAGCTAGTGATGGTTTTTTGTTGTGCATATGCCCGAAGTCAAATGCTTCAAATGTTGCTTTTAATGAAATATTTATGTTCTTTTGGTAGCCAGAAGTGCAACTTGCTGAAGGCTTTGATGTGTTCATGCCTAAATCACAGCTGGACTCTATATTGTCAAACTACACTCGCTCAGGAAGCCTTCTGTTTAGAAAGCTGGTGTGTGCATTTTTTGATGACAAGACTTTGGCTAACTCCTTACCCAATGGGAAGAGGAAAAGAGGACTCAATGACAACCGAAAAGGACTAGACCAAAATATTGTGGGTGCAATAAAAGGTTGGTCTGCATCATTTCATTTTATGGGTTCTTTGTTGAGCTTTGCCTTCGTTGCATAAAGATGCAGCTGAAACTGTGGTCACCTAACGAGAGGCTAATTGAATTTGCCCTTGGCAGTTTACCCACTGGTGTGGCTTTGGGGCATGAGCTCTGTAACTCAGCACCCCAAATATCACTAGAATTTGGTATTTCAAGGTGACGTTGGCTTGTTAAAATCATGATTTCAGAGCCAGTTTGTTCTGCTGCAGAGCCAAAAAGTTTTTCCTGAATTGTCTCTTAAGAAAAAAAGTATCTTTCCTCTTAGTAATTTCTAACTAAGAACTTCAGCAAAATATGATCTTGACTTAAATTTTTAGTTGTCAATAAGAATAAAGCTATGATCCTTTTTGGAAAATAAAGGAAAACAGTTCTCTCCAAAGTTTGGAAGCTGCTTTACGTAGGTCATGGCTTCTAAAGACATTTTAAATGTCAGTGAGCCCACTGTGAAGCCAAACCCCACACATCTCCACCCATTCCTGGCCCGTTCTGCTCCCTCTGTTTCTGTGTGCAGAGTCACGCGAGTTACGTGCAGAGAAAACCGTGAGTCTCTCCCACTCAGCACTGTGAACACATACCCGAGCTCCACTGCATTACAATAGCCGTGCAGGTGCACGTATGAGTAGCTGTTCATTTTATCCAGTTCCACATCCTTAACCTATTTCTTCACTTTAAAATGTCCTTATGTAGAACTCTGATAAACATAATTTCAGGTAATAGAAGTCCTTATATGTTATTTTCAAAAAAGAACGTAAATGAATTCTCAAATATAAACACAACTACCATGAAAATGGAATTTGAGATCAGGCCTTAATTTACACTCGAATTGCTGATAAGGACGTTCTTCACTGCCTCAGTCCCTGCCTTGCTTGGGTTGCGGCCTGGGACTGGACGTGGAGAGCCTTCCCTCCCCACTCCTGCTCCCCGTTATCTTGCAAAATGAGTAAATGAATTTAATAGCGCTTAAAGGATACTTGGAAACCCACAATTAACTTTACAAAATAATGTGACTTTTAAATGGAGTTAGCAAGTACCAAACAGCCTTTGTTCGTGGCCAAAAGGACATAAGCCTTCACTAACAGAACATTTCTCATTCTCCAACAGAATTTTTTCACTTAAAGGGACAGTTGAGTTGTATTAAATAGGAAAAGCTACAGAGATACCACAATCTGTGTCATTTCTGAAAAGAATGACTCACCCTGAAGTGACACTAAAAACTAGATTACTGAATTTGAAAAATGGTCAGTGATGTAACTGAGACCAGCTAAAGTCAGGAAGGGTCCCATTTCAATTTAATGTGGCTGGAGCCTTCTAGAAACACAAAGGTCAAGGTTGATGACGCTTTTCATGCTGAAGCTTTTAAACACATTGAAATGTCGCCAGGAATTGTTTTAATTTTCTTTTTTCAGGACAGTGTATTAACAGTATGAAAGTATTTGGAAATTAGGGAACCCATGTTCCATTTTAATGGCAGTAAAGGAGTTACTTTAATAATAGATGGTAATGAAATATGTTATTACAAGTAGAGTGGTAGGGATTTATTCTACCATTTTCAGTTGAGACTGGTCATCATACGATAGTTTGAAAAAGTATATTACACGGAGAAATAGAGAATATGCCTTCATTTCCTTCATGGCCCTCCTCTTTAGTTAGAAGTAAAAATGGTAACAAGTCTTCTGCTCCTAATACACAATAAAGCAGATTATTCAAATCAAAAAAATTAAATTTTCCATATACTTCTTTTATTGAATTAAATCTGGCATTAAAATTCTGTTAAAACAACAAAAACACTTTAAAACGAAGGGAAATCCAACCATAAGCCACCAACTTAAGTCAACAAATACCATATATTCACTTGTTTCCTTCCAGTATTTACTCATAAACATGTATATTTTGATCTAGATTTTTCCCCTAGTTACAAAACTAGCACATGCTTGTAAAAATCCCAAACCATAGAAATGTATAGAAAGCTAAAAGGCCTCCATAATCACACTCTTCAGAAGTTACTGTCTACATTCCTATATTTTTTCCCCCTGAAATCTTTATTCAGAGTTTGACTGTGGTATCAGATTTGTCTTTCTTACAAGGACATTCTGTTTGTAATGGTCAGCCAACATTTTTACCTGGTTTATTCTGATAATTTCTCATAAGCACCCTGAGGACAAGCTCTGTCTTAAATATTTTTTATTACCTTTTGTGCTTCACTAAGAGCTTTACATATAGTAGGGTTTCCCATCAGTACATGTTGGGTGAGTGAACAGACATGGGTTTTTATTTTTTTTTTTTTTTAAGATTTTATTTATTTATTTGACAGACACAGCAAGAGAGGGAACACAAGCAGGGGGAGTGGGAGAGGGAGAAGCAGGCTTCCCGCCAAGCAGGGAGCCCGATGTGGGATCCCAGGACCCTGGTATCATGACCTAGCCGAAGGCAGACGCTTAATGACCAAGCCACCCAGGTGCCCCTTGGGTTTTTATTTTTTATCTTTGACTTTGGCCCTCATTTATTGACAAATGGCTCTTATACTAAATACCCATCCTTATGTTTTTTCCCAACCAATTTGAAATAATTGTGAATAATATTGTGAATTTCTACCAGTTAATAAAATGCCAATGAAAGCAAAAAAAAAAAAGGGGGAAGCCAAAATTCAGTATAAATTTGGGTACAACTCTCTTAATTCCCTAAAACCTTTTTCCTTTACATAACCATACTTCCACCAGCTAAAAGTTCATTAACCCACACATTACAATATAAAGTGGTCTTTGAAAGTAGCTAGTAATTGAAGGTCTTATAATAGAACTCTCCCAGTTTTTCATGCTGTTTATTGGTAGAGATAAAAAGGGAAGTTTTTTTACTTCCCTAACCCAAGTCTTTTGAATCAAAGTCATCTGGGAAAGTGATAAAATGGCTTCTTGTACATAATGGAGGCAGAACCACTCATGTCATTGCTGGTGTCTGCTACGTACTTTGACAAGATTTTACAAATATTAAATACTTTCTTCCTCTATCCTTTCAGTGATAATATACCAAATACCGTATTAATTTCAAGAGTCCTACAACCTAGGAATTTACAAAGACTGGTCAATTTTATAAAATATTAAAACTAAAAGTAACAGCAGGGGCTGAATTTTGTTTCAAATGAAGTGATTAGGTTGGTTAAAACAGGAGTGGGGGGGAAGATGAACGAAAGTCTGTAAAATGCTTATAAACAAGAACAGACATGGACTGAAGAAGAGTTTATTGGGTGATTATTAACAAGGCTCTTTGTAGTGATAATTAATATTCCCCATGAGAGTATCTTGAAACTAAAATATAAGTCTCTTTGTAGAGATCACACTTTTCACATATTTTCATCTGTTTTCTGGTGGTTAACACTTATTGGTAATAATTCATTAAAAATTCATTTATAAATATGACACAAAGTATCGATGATGAAAGGATCTTTAATTAGAAGCAGTCACCTGAGCACTTTAATTCTGGAAAGAAGGAACTTACGATCTTATTAAGCGGAGCCGTAGATTTTAGGGCTGAGGATAGTTTAGTATCTTGGATTGAATTCAGAATTGATTTCATGGCCAGAACATAGAGTGGAGGTCAGTACCCAGGTACGCTCTCCTCGCATCATGCTATACCTGCTGAAGACCAGCTAATTCTTGGTATCATAGGCCAGGAGACCGTACAGTTTACCTCAGTGAGACTTATCTAAATATTGATGTAATCCTCAGATCTCCGATGCTTCTCAGAAAATGGAGTTGCTATAAAGCAATTTTTAGGACCTGGGTTCTGGTTTTTAATTCAGCTTCATGGTGATTAGTTGGGAAAGTTTTATTACTATCAAACTATACTAGATTCTCAAATCTTCTTGCATTCAATAGAAATTCTGTACGCCTGTCAAATGAAAGACCCGACTGACTGCTCTCAGTTTACTCCATGCAAACACGAACACACGTAAACCCAAACTGCGGCTCCCCGGCAGGCAGTCAGCGCTGATGGTAGCCGTGGGGGTCACAGCCTGCCTGTGAGGGAACTCTCCTTGGCTGGTGGTTCTCAAAAACTTAACTATGCCCCTAGCAAGACTAGAAAGCCTGACCAGAGTCAGCATCGCCCTTTCAGAGACTCTGCCGAGCTGACCACCAAACCCTCATATGTTATCCCAGCAACTCTGGAGACTTGTAGGGTCTGTAGGAGTCCTTTCAAAATACTCCGATTTTCCATTTTTTTGCACATCATTCTGCTTTCGATTTGACCCCACAGAGACGTAAATTAATATGGTTGGGGTGGGATTTACCTCCAATTTGTTACTTATTTCTTGATACTTTTATGTATCCTGAGAACTCTCTGTAAGACCAGGGATGGGCCATCAGCTTGGGTTTGAACACCCTCACTGTGTCGGTGATTTTATCTTCACTTACAGGAGAGGAAACTGAAGCTCTGAGAAGTTGAGTAACTTAAGGATAAACCTGTAGTAGGTGGTAGAGCCAGGATTTGGCCCTAGGCCTGTCTGGCTCCAAAGTCACCGTCTAGCACAGTTCTTTCCTTCTCTGAGGAATATCTGAAGGGAAAGAAGGAAGGTGTCCCAATTTTAAATTTCTGTCTGAAAATTTAGCATTTTTGGATTCTTTATAAATTCCACTAGGAAGGTGGCTATACTAGTTATTTAAAATGGCCAGTCGGTTACTGTGTATGCAAAGCATATTCAAAGTGAATTTCTGGGTAAAGGGTTAACTATAGCTCAGTTTACTCAGCAACTTCAAGGGCAGGTCCTCCCTTGAAGCTAGTGAGAATCGGTCCCATCGTTGCTAGGGAGAATAGAAGTGTGATCCCCTCCCTAAGGAAAAGAGACACTTCTGAGACTCTTCCAATACATGGAGCTTGGAAGTCACACTGCATGTAAGTAATTTTTCAAAGTTGTCTGTAAATTAAGTTCTAGCGGAACTGTTTGGCAATTGAAACCAATTGATGAATGCTTTAATTCAAGAATCCTTTTGGAAGATGCATAATCATTTGTTAATTTATCTGTTCATATTTTTACATAACAGATCAGCTTAAAACAGGATAAACTGCATAATTTATAACAGCAAAATAATGTGTAACAACTCTATAATTATATCATATACATAGCTGTCTCTCGGCTCGGGAACTCTTACGTAGTTGTGGTTGTGGTTGTGGTTGTGTTGTTGTGTGTATTTTCCCACTTTTTATGGAGGCCCAGTGACAGATGGGCGATATTGAATCTTGGCCATTCGATGTGTAGAGCCCTGTCTGTTCAACCCCTTCCATAGCGAGTCTCATATTTTAGTATGCATCAGGATTACCTGAGGTATTGGTTCAAATTTCAGATTTCTGGGTCCCATCCTCAGGGACTGATTCAGTAGATGTAGGGTAGTCCCAGAAATCTGACTTTGGACAAGCAACAGCAGGTGACTGACTGTTGTAGATGGTCTCATACCACCCTTGGGAAGCCACGCCATGGAGCTTCTGATGCTGATGGCTGATTCTAACATACGACAGCCCTTCTGTGAAACTCTGCCTCCTTCCTCTGTTCCTTTTCCTGAAGGTTGCCCTACTTCTCTCTTGGAACAAATGAGAGGAAGATAGCATGTGTCAAAGGCTCTCATCCTTTGAACCTCCGGGGCTGGAAACTATTCGTATCTGTTGTGTGACTCAAGGGTCCCGGTTTCAGATATGCCGGCAATGCCTCCACAGGACTCCCCTGAATAACGGCCTCATTTACCAAGCTGGCAGAAAGGCCTTTCCAGACTTCAGCACGACTCTCACATCTGGATCACTAAACAAAGCTGTATAGTTTTCCAGATGGCCTTCTCGTTAAGGGCTTGAAGAAAGCGTGGTCTCCGTTCTTGGCCAGCTCGTGGCCCGTCTCCTCGATCACAGGTTTGGTGCACTTGTGTAGCCAACTTCTTTACCATGTGTGACACCGTGGTCCTTGCTGCTTCTCCAGCACCGCATAAGTCACGAGGACACCAGAACCTCCGCAGTATCATTGACCTCACAAACGCGGAAATCATCAGCAGGCATGACATTTCCATTAACAGCACCAGCTTGGGTGCCCACCCGCCAGGCGCCAGGAACCGGTGACTTAGACAGGAGTAAGGGATGGCCTCGGACCCTAAGAAACGTGCAGGGCGGTGGAGCTTCAGACACATGAACGGTGAGCCATAGCACAGAACCGTGCTCCAGGACAGAACAAAATAAATGTCACAGCACCCACTACTGAACGGAGGGAGAAAGCACAGAGGAGGGACAGCCCTGGAAGAGAAGGCCTCGCCGAATAGGTGACTCTGAACTAGACTGTGAAGGATGAGAAGTGTATCAAATGCAAAGGGGATGGAAACGGTTAACTACAGGATAAGTTTAATGAGGCCGAAATTAAATAAAACACTGGGTGGAAGCCTTCTGCCCCCAGAACTGTTTGAAGTCTGTTCTGAGTTGATGGGCCTTGAGTCCTCACCGACCTGTTTTCCTTAAAGTGTTTAAGTCCATGAATGTAGATGCCAGGGAAACACACCCCAGGAGTTTTCAGCCAGAGCTGCGCTTCTTGAAGTTTCTTCTTGAGCTTTTGAAGGCCTCACCCCAGGCCTGATGAATCAGAATTTGGGGCGCTGGGGCCACGGCAAGTCAGAAGTCTGTCCTTGCTTTGTCACCAGTCTTCCATAAGCTCAAAAAAGGAATCTCTCCTTCCTCAAAATTCCAGATCCATCGGCTTGCTACATGCGGAGCAAGTGGAAATGGGGAGAGATTTGCTAAGAAGGTTGCGGCTTCTCGTGGCTTCTATTCAGCCTCTCACAGAATGGACAGGAACCAGTTGTGGGCTAACCTGCGAGGATTCAACTCAAACTCCCAGTCACTGGATTCTTAAAAACCTGCATTTTAACACCGCTGCCTGGGTTGACAAAACCAGCCTCCTGTCAAAAGAGAGAAGTTTCTGTAGCCCAAACAGGGCCACTCCAGCGTGACTGTGCATTGCACAATGTTACGGGCACCCTTCCCGTTGTTGACATTGCTGATTTGTCTCTTTATTATGACAGTTTTCTGGCAGGCGCAAGTGAAATGTCCCGAGGAAGGGGCGCCTTCCTGGTTTGCACGGCAGCACCGAATGGGCCAGCCGTGGCCCCGGAAATAGAAAGCGGTGTTTTCGGCGTGGCCCATCACCTTTTTGTGTGGATCCCTCAATAGCATGGCTGATCCACGATGCTCACCAGCATCATAAGGCAATAATGCCACATCTCTGTTTTCTTTCCCACTGTAGGGGAGAGGACTTGTATGAGAAGCCCACAGTTGGTCAAATTACATTCCTTGTAGCTTTCCTCCTGGACCTGTCGTGGGTGCCAGTAATCTGACACAAGTTTTAATTCCGTTCCATAAACAGTTATTGAGTATCTCATACAAGCTATACTTCAAAAATCTGAGAGACGCAGGAATTGAGACTCGCTTGAATTTCTGCCCTAAAGGTGTGTATGCAAATGATCATGGAGTACTTCTGGTCCCTGTAGTACCACACAAAAAAACTAAGGGTGTATGTCAGCTTCCATTAAGAAAACCCCTTGAAAATCCATAGACTTTCATTTAAAATTGAACTGAAAGCTGTCATCGATTTTGGCCGCCTTTATTCTTTGTCTAAAAGCAAGCATGGCTGTGTCTATCCTGTTAAAAGCACCCTTAGAAAAGAGAGAGGCTGCCTCTTGGACTAGTCCAGTCTTCCCACGGGCTGCTCCCGACACTCGAGTCTCCTGTTACACTGACTGTGTTTCCAGGTTCTTCTTTCTTGCATCCGGCTCTTGGTGAGATTTTGAAGCCTCTCCATGGCCAGCTCCTGGGATTTCTCAGAACCTTCACCTCTCCTCATCAACCATGTGCCTTTGATCACAGAACAAATCCAGTATGCGTTATTTTAAGTACATCCTTCCCACTCCTCTTCATCACCACCCAGACCATCAGTTTAGCCATGTGCAGCTAAGTGGGGGCCAGTCCTAATTAGAAATGTGCACAGAAGCCAGGAGCAGGTGAGATAGTGAGAGTGAGGACGAAGACATGCAGAACATTCCAGCTTACTCGCAGGGCTTGGGGCCTGGCCTGGCCTCTCTTGAAAGAGTCAGGTGTGTCCTTCTTACCTGCACAGCACACCCCCGAACAGTGGCATGGGGTTTCTGACGTAACACCCCCTCACAACCACATTGCTGGCAGAGGCATCAACATTCTGCTTTTTATGTTTGAACGCTCAGAATCCTCCTCGGTGCCTTTTTGCCTTTGCCCCTAGTCCTGCCTACTCACCCAGCCCTGTGAGTTCTTTTTTCCTCGCTCCCCTCGTCACTGGTCTCTAGCTTCTCTGACAGCATCCTAATCCAGCCGTGCATCCCCTTGTCCTTGATGGTCTGAAAAAATCTCTGTGAATATCCTCCCTGCCCTGCGTTTCCCCCTCGAGTTTCTGCTGTTTTAGCATGTGGCCAAGTAACACTTACTTGTAAACCAAAATGTCCTGCCATTTCCCCACCTGACCCGTCTTTGTCCGTTAAATCAAGTCCAAACTCTGGCCTCTTCCAGACTCGCCGTTACTGGATTTCTCTCTCCTCGCAACTACATGTCCCAGTGCTCCTTCCTACCAGGTGAGCCAGCCCAGCATTGACACTTCCTCGGGCGTCACATTCTCATCATGGACTCTTGAGTTACGCTGTGTCCGGAGCTGCAACACTCTTCTCTCTTCTCTCTAAACAAATCCAACTCTTAGTGGTCTGGCCACATCTCGTGACCTCTACTGTGAGACTTGCCCCAGTGTCCCAGCCTGCCCTGCTTTCTCCTTTCTCTGCATTCCTATAGCACACACTACCTTTGTGTAGTTTACCGATAAATAACCCTTTGCTTTGCTACTCATGGTTTATGTGGAAGATGACAGTATCATTTATTTCCCAAACTATGACACTTTGGAGAGTGAAGATGGTGCTCTTGATCATTTCCCCAGGAAAACAGGCATTTTGAACCGTCCTGGACAAATCAGGATTTACGGTTGGACATCTTGTCTTCTCAACAAGACTGCAAGCCCCTGTGGGGCGGAGACCACCTTCTAAATTTGCTTTGCCTGGTCCTCGGCGTGTGACACGGTGCCACACACATAATCAGTGATAAATAAATACAGGAAGGAAGGAAAGAGGAATGGAAAGAACGAGGCAGTCAACGTATCTCCATGGAAAATGGTGGTTTCTTAAAAATGCCAACACAGCTCTGCTACATTGGATGCACATGGAGCACAAATAATGGGATAACTACACCACTTCTCCATGACACCTCGGAGGAGGGCAGCTGAAATTCCAGAAGGCAGAATATAAGACTGAAGATGAGAAGAAACAACACCAACAGACAAGTCAGATGGTGCACAACAGTCGAGGCTGGGAGAAATCTCGTCAGTCAGAAGCATCACGGGGATCCCGAATATCAAACCCGTTTTGTCCAGTGGAGGCCCAGAAAGCTCTGACTTGTCGAGTGTCACAGATCAGCCTCCTCAGTCCGCAGTGTGGAAGCATGTCGTACTTTCATTCATACCGGAGAGCAATCCTCTTCCAGTGTTACGTATAATAATGGTATTGTGGGACTGTGACTTAAACAAACCCCACAATGGAACCCATCAGCAGGCTCAAGATGCCGGTTCCTGTTTTTGCCATCTCAGAGCTTCTTGAAACGTCAGTATGCTTATCCACCCATGTGTCTTTTTAGCACTCATCATCATGGCGACATGGTGCCTCAAAGACAGTACCAAAGAGAAGAGCACTTTTATATTGTCAGCCTCAAAACTCCCCCGTAGCCGATCTCAATTAGAGGGGGTCGTCACCATTAAGAAAGAACAGGAAACAAAAGCCTCTGAGGCATCAGCCTGTCCTGACACCCGGGGTCATCACCCTGATGTCACACCACCACACAACGCCCACAGGCCGGGAGCGGCAGGGATGGTGGCAAGCGTACTGATCCAACGACCTGAGCCTCGTAGGGGAGGCCCTGTCACTACCACTGCCCTCCTAGCTCATCGCTCTTGTTCTTCCAGCCTTAGCCATCTCTGAGTATAGGTGGTGGTGAGGAACAGGATGGTACCTGAACTTCCAGAATGTTCCCTCACTTACTCTGGTACTGTGGGTACAGCTTCCGAATTTACTGGCCAGGGTGTGAACTCAGCACCTCATGGAATGACTTCGAAAGTTCATATTGCATGAAACCTTAGCTTTATTTTTTTAAGATTTTATTTATTTATTTGAGAGAGAGCAAGCGAGAGAGCATGAGCTGGGGGAGAGGCAGACAGAGCAGGAGAAGCAGACTCCCCACCGAGCAGGGAGCCTGATGCGCGGGACTCAATATCCCAGGATCCTGGGATCATGACCTGAGCCGAAGTCAGATGCCTGACTGAGCCACGCTGGGGCCCCAGAAACCCTAGCCTTAAAAATTGAGAGAAAAACACAGTACATTGTCCTCATCATTTATATGCAGAGCAAACAAACACCCCAGCGCCCCGTGCAGCAGAGCTTGGGTAGAGGGAGAATCTGTCACTTGCCTGACTTCTTGAACCTATGGTTCTCTCAGGTCTGATCTAGAAAATACTTAAGTGAGTTATACTATTTCCAAGATGCCTTCCAAGTAGAATTTCTATAAATCTGTGATTTTTGAAACATTTTTCTTTGCCCAAAAAAGGGAGTAAATAGTAAAACACCATGACATCAAAACTGGTTATTATCCAGACCTTAATATTTCGCAGATACAATTTATTCCCTTGAAATATACCAAACACATTAAACAAACATGTGTTGTAGCAGCGAGCCAAAGGAAAGTGTTAATCATATCTCCCACTAAGTTGTGTTATAGATGAGCTCTGCTGAGGGTTCTCTTGAATCGAAGTAAATTTAAAATTAACTTTAATTTGAGAAACCACTAAAGGCACTTTCTTTTAGACAGAGATGCCATTGTAGCAAAAGGAAGACAAGGGATATTGTTCTTCTCCCCCAGACTGCTCTGGCCTCAGATCTTTGAGGATCGCTGCGATTAAACAAGATTGCCCAGACCTCAAAGTCCCACCAGTTTGGGGATCATGAAAGGAGCATTGTGGGTGTAGACTCACTCCTGACACTGCCATTAAGGTCTTGAAACACTACCTTCTCTTGGGGGAGGGGGGGAGGTGTGGGTTGGCTAATTTTTAAAGTCTCTGCCAGTTCAGAAATTCTATGGCTCAGTAATTTTAGTCCAGATTCTCAGAAGTAATCCTAGAGAATTAAATAAATATGACTGGGAATCAATTTTATGGATACCTAAGGCCCTTTTCCTTACAACAGCCAACTGAAAATTACAGCCCTGCACAGGGATCAGCACTAGGGGACAAAGAATTCAGTGGTCATTATGGTAACCCTTCACTCCGCTTGACCAGCTGACTGCCCTGCAGTCTCCTGCATAGATAATTCGGGAGGATCTTCTCATTTCATCAATGAATGCATTATTGTTTGCATTACTGTATTTTCTTGTTAACTTTAAAGATTTCATCTTTAGGTGCATTAGTCGATGAACTGTGCTGAATCTTTTGGTTAAATGAAATCCCAAATGAACTTGAGGGCTTGGTCTGATCTCAAGACCTGTGGCTATTTACTGAAGAAATTCTCTAGTTCTTTGAAGTGAAGTCACAAACCAGAGAAAACCGTTTCTCAGGTTTATTCTTTCACGAACTGCTGCCTGAGATGGGCCAGCCACCGTGCATGAGGGAGCCACCATCTCTGGCCTTGCCAAGTGCAGTCTTAGTGATCACTATATGCTGTTATTTTGAAAACCACTGGTTAAGGAGTTCAGGGGGGCCTTGCCTGAGAAGGTCGCGTTTATTTCAGCTGAGAGCCGGGGAGGGGGGCAGGTGATGGACTGACGCCTTCCCCCTGCTGCTCTTGGCAGGCAAAGTACTGCGTCTTGTCGGGGCTCCCCCCCCCCAACCCCCGAGAGTGGATGTGAGCAGCAGACTTGAGATCAGTCAGAATTGACGTCCCAGCATCGTTCTGGGAGAAACTCTCTGACTGGTTCATAGGCTGACAGAAGAATGGCATTTGTCATTTGTCCCCATTAGCAGTGGTTGTTAGGCCAGAAGGGGACATAGAATTCCTCTCCATCTTGAATGTGTTGAAGACGTTTTCCAAGATTCATTTTCTCTCCACCTTACCACTGAGGTTTAAAACAGATGTTATATTTACTTCAAACCCCCCTCTTTTATTTTTTAAGAATCAAAATATTCGGGGCGCCTGGGGGGTGCTCAGTCGGTTAAGCGTCCAAATCTTGATTCTGGCTCGGGTCATGACCTCAGGGTCCTGAGATCCAGCCCTGTGTCGGGCTCTGCTTTGGGCGTGGAGCCAGTTAAGATCCTCTCTCTCCCTTCCCTCCCTCTCTCTCTGCTCCTCCCCCTCCTTAAAAAAAAGTGAAAATGTTCTTCTGCCATCTCCTTTCTTTCTCCCTCCCACTCCAGAGTAACCTGAAGTTGGTGTGATTCTTTCTCCCTTATGTTTTTCCACATTACTGCTTAAGTGTGTGTCCATAAATCACCTCTACTACTGTCTTGTGAATTTATGAATCTACACGCACAGCCTCATACTGTACTTTTGCAACTTGGCGACCTTTTTTTTTTCAAGATTTACCCATATCAATACATTATAAATCTTGTTTATTCACTTCAACTGCTAACCACCCTATAAACACAGCAATTTCTTTCTGCAGTCTTCTGTGAAGGGACAGTTAGGTGGTTCTTGTGCACGGTCATCGATGGCGACAGTCACTTCTGCGTTTCCTGCGGCTCGTGTAGGAGTTTCTCTGGGGGACACACCGGGGAGCGGAACTGAGGATGTGAGCATCTTCAGCTTCATTAAGCATTTTGCCAAATGGCTCTCTCATGTGACACATCACTCACCTATCCACCAGCAACGAATAAGAAATCCTATTTTTCCTCATTCTTGCCAACATGTGATTGGTGTTAACAAACTTCAATTTTTGCACGTCTGATTGGTCTCAAGCGGCACCCCCGTGGTGGATTCCCTGATTATTAAGAAGGTTGACCATCATTTCATATTTACTACTATTTGGTGAATTTCCATCCTTTTCCTATCTCTCCAATAGGCTGCTGTAGTCTTATTGACATCTATGAATTCTTTTGTCAGTTGCATCTGTAACAAATGTTTTATTTTCTCACCTGTGAATACTCTGCATATGACCTCTTTTATCACACCAAAGTTTAGATTTAACAACCAGATAGACTACCTTATGCTTTTTTTTTTTTTTTTTTTTGGTGCCCGTTTTAAGAAATTCTCCCTACCGTGATGATATATAATGGTATTCCTGATTTTTTTTTCCCCCAACAAAGTTTTAAAGTTTTATCTTTTATATTCAGATCTTTCATCCCCTTGGAATTTCCTTTTGCCTAAAATGTGAGGGAAGGGGCGCCTGGGTGGCTCAGTTGGTTAAACGACTGCCTTCGGCTCAGGTCATGATCCTGGAGTCCCGGGAGCGAGTCCCGCATCGGGCTCCCTGCTCAGCAGGGAGTCTGCTTCTCCCTCTGACCCTCCTCCCTCTCATGCTCTATCTCATTCTCTCTGTCTCAAATAAATAAAAATTAAAAAAAAAATCTTTAAAATGTGAGGGAAGGATTTAATTTGTTTTTTTCTCTGGGCACTCAATCATTTTAACACCATCCTCTTTTTTTACATGAATTGTAATTCCCCCTTGGTGCTATATTGAGCTCGCACTTTCCCTGTTCACACTTGGTCTTTTGTCCCCCTCTTAGCCAGTGCTACGGTTTTCATTGGTTTGTCATTACAGGAGTTCCCAGTATCTCCTCCCCACCTCCCCTCTGTGCTCAGTGCTCTTCTTCCTTAGCTACGACCTATAGCAATTCTTTGACTGAGGGTCTGTGTGGTGTGTTATTTCAGTCTCTGTTCTGATCATTTCTCTATTTCACCCTCACTGAGGAATGATGAGGAGTCCAGTGGGGTACTGTGTTCTAGACTGAGGGTTGTTTTTGCAGAGCAATTTGAAAACATCCCACTGTCTTCGAGATTTTGTTGCTGTTTTCAGTCTGTGGTTCTTTTGTAGATAACCTGTCTTTTCTGTCTAGTTGCTTTTAAGATCTCTTTGCCTTTGGTATTCTCTGTTTTCTTTATTATAAGTCTAGGTATATATTTTTATTAATTTGCTTGGTTGCCTAATTTGTAATTGTGATAGTAGGGCTTGGTAGTCATTCATGTGTGATCGATGGTGGATTAAGAATCAGGCTTTGCTTGAGGCACCTGGGTGGCAGTAGTCAGTTGGGCTTCCGACTCTTGATTTCAACTCAGGTCTTGATCTCAGGGTCGTGAGATCAAGCTCTGCATTGGGCTCCACGGTGGAGCTTACTTAAAAAAGAAGAAGAAGAAGAAGAATCAGGCTCTATTCCAGTGTGTATAAAATGTTCTCTGCAAGAAGGCTCTTTTAGTCTCAAAACACAGTGTCACTAACATTCCTTTAGGAAGAAGCTGTTTTGCGAGGCTGCAAAATAGAAACGCTCTTGACCTGCCTGCTCTGCCTCCCTTCCTCCCAAGCGACACTTGCCAGTCTCTCTGACTCTCTTCTCTCTGCACATCTGTTCCGTCTCCTTGCCAGCTGGCTTCCTCCACTTGGTTTCTGCCCACCACAATTCTGGCTTGCAAGGTGTGCCGGGTCCACTCACGCCGTGAGGTCTCAGCTTTGCCCACTACTGCTCAAGCCTCATCCTCTCATTGCTTGCTATTCTGAGAAGCTCATCCTTTTGTGTAGTCCGTGGCCTGGCTTCCCTTAGGCCAAGTGCCCATCACTGCTGTGGCCAAGCTGAGGGCACAGGTATGAAACATTCCTGCCCGCTTTGGCAGTAGGGGCTGGGTCAGGGGGGCGGTTTCCCAGAGGCATCCTTGAGCTTGGCCGGCCCCACACCGTCCAGGTGCCTTTGCTTCAACTCAAACCTTCTGTTGAGTTTTTCATTCTAGCACCTTGATTCCAAAAAGTGAGAGTACTGAGTTATGACATCAGATGTTTCAGATACTAGAAAGATAATCCCCCCTTACACATTAATTAATTGCATCGTAGCTTATTGATCAGTCCCTTGTAGGTTTAGTTATTGTGAGCAGGTGTCTCAGGCATGAACCCCTGGGTGGTCTGATACAATCAGAGTTTTGAAGCTACACAGCCGAAGGCCCATCCCTACACCAGTAGAACTTGTCCGAGATCTGGAGCATCAGAACACCATGCACCATCCGCCAGCCCTTCTTCTAGCTCTTTCCCTTTCTCTCCTAGTACCTTAACTTTCCCATTTCTTGTGACTTTAATAAATTAATGAAATGGGTATCAAGCCTATGACTTGTGGATTTCAGCTGTCCCCAGGAATTTGGGAAATGAAGCACTATATTATCATCAAAGAAAATATATTCTCTATTAGGTCCATATAAAATTTGGACCAAAGTCCTCAGTCTGAGTTGAAAATACCTGTAGACCCACCCTCCCCAAGGCCCACTCTCCTTCTCCCTTCCTTGTCTCAGGCCAACGGATCCCTTTGATCTGGAGGGGAGGTGATCTCACAGACCTGCCTTGTCCTCTCCCTTCTTGTCCCCATGCTTCTGTTTTGTGTAGATGAAAGTAAGACCGATGTTCACAACATTAACTTAGCTATTGATTTGCTTATATTTAGAATTCAATCATTATTCTTCTACGAAATCTATGTGCTCATATATAACTTTAAATTAAAAATTAAATAATTTATGTGGAAAATAATCCCTATTAGCCGTGTGGTCTGGGACCGGTTACTTAACCCGCCTGTACTTTGATTTTGTCTCTAAGGCAGGATCACAACACCTGCACCATCAGGTTACGGCGACCATTAAATGAAATAGATCTATAACGTGCTTAGCTCATGGGAAGCTCCACATAATAGTTTTAAAAGAGTAAAGGGAAGAGGGGGCCGTGGGAGGGTGCTGGTGGTCTTCGGGTTGCTCACATGTGAGGAGGGGGGACGTGGGCAGCCTGCAGGGAAACCTCATCCGCTCCCCCTGCAGGCTGGGCCCAGGGTTCCCTTTCCTTGGCACAGCCCCAAGACCCGACCACAGAGAGAGCTCTTTCCACTGGTCCCTGGCCCCTCTCGTGCTCTGGGAGATGGGCGGGGGCCGGGAGGACCTGGCGCCTTCAGTTTGGCTTGACAGCCACCTTGATGGCCACTTGTCTGTTTGACCATAACTTAAAACTGCGTCATCAGATCAGAACTTGGGCTCTCTCTGCTGGCAGCTGTAGCCTCGTCTGAAGGTGCCACAGAGAAACTGAAGCTCTGCAGGTCTCCTGCTTCTCCAAGTGTCTGTGCGATCCAGTGACTTCCTTTAAAAGTCCACCCCATGCTCTGCTTTTCCCAGCATAGGGAGCCAGAAAAATCCAAAGGAAAGGTCCGCTAGGAACCACCGCGTGAACAGATAGCTGTTTGGGGAACACGGCCAATCTACTGTGTTCTCAGCATGGCACATTCAGACACGCCGTACACCCGCTTGTTCATTGGTGATTACATTAAATGCTGCGTTTCCCAGGGAAGGATCTGCTCAGCCACCACCAGCTTATTCATTATTTATATACAATTAAAGGGCACGGTTCACATGAACACAAGCATATGAGAAAAGTCATTATTCATGTACAGATCAAATTGAACATTTGTCATTTCCCTAGTGACTTAACATACTCTTTGTACCTTGGGACCTCAAATTATATTAAGCACAAGGGATGCTTTAACTCTTTTATTTAGTCTAATTGTTGGCTTTAATCCGCTTGCTCGGATTATTCGGACTTGTTTAAAATTAGTCCTTGCTTCTCCTTAATATATGAAAATAGAAAAAGAGGGAAATTTCGTTTTAGTACCTATTGCATTCTAAGGATGAATGCAAATTGTTCTATGATTCTTAATGACCCACCATTAACATAGTAGGAAGCCCAGTGCATTAATGCAATGCCTCTTTTCACATCATTACTCCTAATGGAACTGTTACCAGGATAATAGCTTGACCTTTAGCTATAGATTCAGACAGCAGAATATATTCTGCTTACTCGATACCTCTATTCACATAGCATATTGAGCATTTTCGGATCAATACAATGACAATCTTTTGGCCTCGTTCTAAGGCCTCATCTGCGCATGTAACAGAGAATAGGATTTCATCTTCAGTAGATAGATCCAAGTTAAAAGTCTCTTTTACATTTGAATGTAATCCATGAAATAGAACGTCAGTAATACGCCCAGTGGAAATATTTGTTGGTATAGATATTTTCCGAGAAGCCTAATGCTGTGCCTTCAAAGGTCTTAGACACAGACCCAGAAGACAAAGATTTCCCTGGCTTCTTTTTATTGTAACCGGATAAATTTTAACTGAAAGGAGAAAGAAGAAATAGAAATTATTGCCTTTTTAGCGGGTGACAGAATATTTGAGCCCAAGATAAGCTTAGAAGGATCTGCTTGCAAGTCCCTCACAGAGTGGGAGAAAACACTCCAGAGCCTTCCCTTTGGTTCTCCTAAACTTGGTCATTGACATGCGTGGTTGCTGGGGGTCATTTTGATGTTGGCATAACCCACAGTGACTTTGTAATTTCGAACCACTGTTTTCTAGTGTGTGCTAATTTAGACACATGCATTTCACAATCTAAGAAAAGAGGGGTTGCTATGGAAATTAATTATACAAATAAGGTCACAGGGAGGGAAATGTTTACCTGGTAAGATGATATATTCAGTCATTTTTGTGGTACACATTTTCATATAAACTAACAGTGTGCTAAATGCAATTATTTTCTTTCTGTTAAAATAGAACTTCGAGAACCTTTTGGCAGTTCTCTGATCAGCAAATGTTATTGTTGGCATTTGGATATAATATAGCCTTTTTTTTTTTTTTAAAGATTTTATTTATTTATTTGACAGAGAGATAGACAGAAGAGCACAAGCAGAGGGAGTGGCAGAGGGAGAGGGAGAAGCAGGCTCTGCACTGAGCAGGGAACCCGATGCAGGACTCGATCCCAGGACCCTGAGATCACGACCCGAGCCAAAGGCAGACGCTTAACCATCTGAGCCACCCAGGCGCCCTAGCCTTTTTTAACTGTATTCCATGAATTAAAACTTTCTAAGTAGTCTAAATTCATGAGCTATTGTATCTGCTGCCATTAGAAACAAAACTGGAAAATATGTGTGTTCATCAAATATTTATTGACTTCTTGCTTAGTACAGGGCACTGTGGTCGGTGCTTTGAGGGAGACAAGATAAATGAGGACCCTTGAAGTGGTCTCCGATCTGGTGTAGGAGATTCAAGAGCACACCTGCCCCTGGGGATATCACTTCGTCTGCCTCCCTCCCGAGTAGAGACCGCTGGCTTGCTCATGCCCACAGGCCATATACTGGACAGCCAGGTTGACATTCTCCCCGATCCTCAGTTCTGCTTCCTAATCACCTCCCTTCCTCTGCTCGGCTGGGGCTGGGGTGGACCCTTTCCACCAAGGCTCTTATCACAGCTGCACGCTTTCCTCTCCCTCCCAGGTCCTGCTGGCACCTTGAGTGACTTCACTGTCCTCAGGAAAGATCCTGACCCCCTAGCCGCCTCACGTCCAGACCTCATCCACAGTGGCCACACCGTAGCATCCTCATACAGAGCTGCCGCGCCGCTGATGCCTTCCTCTCCGGCGTGATACTCTCAATTGCCCTCACTCTATGACACCTCCTTGCCAACCCCACTGATACTCCTTTCCCTGATCCCCATAAGTTTTTCCAAGCGTCTGGGCCTTTTTCTGGCTTTGCTTCCTTCCCAGATTTGGGTAGGGACAGGAGGAGTGAAGAAAGCAGAGGTAATGAAGGCCAGCTGGCATCTGCAAGCACTTTATGTCCCTGTCCTCCTGCCAGAACCGTCCAGCAGAATCCCGACCTGGACCAGTCCTATCATCCAGTGGCGCCACTCCTAGCTCGGAGCTGCAAGGTGCCACGGGCCTGTTGCCACCACAGGCGCATAGGCTTCTCTTCTGCTCGGCATCCTCACGTCCTCAGTCTGCTGCTCTCCTCTTCCTCTTCTTCTCAGAAGCAATCCCAGACATTGCCCACACTCTCCCTGCCCCTTGCCACTGAGTCACTGAGGTCCCAGGAGTGACTGCTCCAACCTAGACCACTTCTAAATCCACCCCAGCTCCCATTCCCTCTGGGCGCAGAGGGGGAAGTCTTCCTCCTGTTCAAGGGCAGCCCCATTTCCACATCCTACCACCTCGGTTCTTCCGGCGTGGTTCCTGTGACTGTCTCCTTCCTTCTCCTGGATCCTGCCTTCTCCAGAATGTAAACCATGCTCACGTCTCCCCAGCCTGCAGCGCCACCCACGGGCCCCTCTTCCCTTCCTTCTCCCCAACTGAACCCGGTTTTTCTGGAATGTCATCTGTGGCCACCCCACTTCTCCCTTGAGGAGCTCCAGTGACACTTGGCAAAAGGCTGGGCCTGACCCTCTCTTCTGCGCTTCAGACTGTTGTCCCTTGTCTTCGTTAGGCCACTCACTGGTCCTTACGAGACCGCACTTCCCGGTTCTCCTGACTTCGCCAGTCCTGTGTCTTCTTCACTTTCCGGCTGGGGTTCCCTCTGGCTCTGTGCTTGGCCCAGCGCTCTGTTCATTCCATATGCTCTCCCTTTCTCCCGTATTCCCCAGGTCACAGGATACCGGGCCAGTCACCCCCATCACTTTCACTCTAATGTTTGAATGGGCCTGGTCCCCACTATTTTATCCATACCAAGTATTAGCTTTTTAACATTGTTTTTCTGAGTTAGTAGATATAAAGTGTGTTTTGCAGTTCTTTGGCTTATATATTGGCTGACCATTTCTCCTAGATACACTTTGTCCATTTATCTATAGAGACTTTGGAAGTTTTTCTTTTATTTGAATGAACTTTTTTTTCTTATTTTGGTGGTAGATATTGAACCTCTTCAGTCATATTTAGCGCATCCAGCTTTTCTCATTCTGATGAAATGCTTCTTTTTCATTCAGTAGAAGTTTTACAGTTTTATAGAGTCGAATCTGTCAACATTTTCCCTTGCTCTTTCTTTTTAAAAGAAACCTTTAAAACATTAAAACTGCCAGTATTTTAAATACCACGAAGGCAGGGTGAGCTGACCGCATGCTAGGTCTCTTGCTTGCAGGGAGCGAGTTGCACAGATGGGGTGTGAAAGCGCCCAGGACGGAGGGAAGCAGAACTGTCCACAGCAGCGCCGGGATGGGCAGCCACACACTGCGCGCCTTTCGAGAAGGCCACCGTCCTGTCTCCCTCGTGTCCTGTCACGACCCCCTCCGTGGTCCCCCACGTGCTCACCGGGCAGCATTCCCCTGGGTGCTGGCACAACATGCCAGAGGCTGACTCGCTGTCCAGCTGGGACTCTCACTAAGACACATCTGCATTTTTTTTTTAAGATTTTATTTATTTATTTGAGAGAGAGAAAGAGAGAGAGCATGAGAGGGGGGAGGGTCAGAGGGAGAAGCAGACTCCCTGCCAAGCAAGGAGCCCAATGCGGGACTCGATCCCGGGACTCCAGGATCATGACCTGAGCCGAAGGCAGTCGCTTAACCAACTGAGCCACCCAGGCGCCCGACACATCTGCATTATTAAGCGAGTACTGACTGAGTTCGTGGGAAGCACCATGGGAATGCCATCTTTTTGTGTCATCTTGCATTGTGTGTGATCTTGCCTAAGATTCAATTTACCAACAGTAATAATCCACTGGCTGAATTTTGTCATGGTGTCAGCGGACCCCGAGGAAGCACTTTCTCCTCTGCCCGTAAGACATATATACACGGATGTGGAACAGATAGAAAGAGCGGTTCCATATAGCCAGTTGCGTTCTGAGGCACCATCCAGTGTATGTGAGCGGGGTCCTGCCAGCCTCCATCTTTACCAAGGAAACGTCATAATATAGACGTTGAAGATACCCACTTTTAGAAATACACTTTTTTTTTTTTCTTCTTGGGATATATTCCTATTTCAGATCTGCATGGTTTTATTTAAGTGTTTAACAATATTTCATATTTTCTCTCAGTCTTCACAGAAAAGTACTGCACTGCTAACCACGTGGATAAACTTCCTGGCCCGAGAGACTGGGTGCAGATTCTGCAGGATCAAATCAAACTGGCCAGAAGAAGGTTAAAAAGAGGCTCAGGTATGAATCAGCTGCTGGAAGAGAGTCATCAGCAGCCCTTTCCTGAATTCTCAGATGTGGCAAAGTACAATCCTCTGCTTTAGGGCACTTTTTTGCCTTTTGTCTTTTGAAGGAAAAGTTCTATAGAATGTGCCGTGGTTTTGCATTTTAAAGTCTTACTCCAGTGAGTTTTGAAATTCACCTGAAGATTAAGTAGTAAACATTATTATGTCAGACCATTTACGTTTTACTAGTACAAATGAAGAAGACTGCTCATCTCGTTCATGGCCTTGTGTGTCTTCCCTGTGAGGCTGGGTCTCTCTTTTGTGATCTGCTTTTATTTGCTTGAGTTTTGTTTGTTTGGAGCTGCGTGACTTTATAAAAAGTACCAGTTGCTTGAAGTAAAAAAACAAAACAAAACAAAAAAAACAATTCTTCTACCAGCAACACCACATGAAATAGACAAAGGGGTTTTAAGTCACATAGATATTTTTCAAATCTGGCTTTGGCAGTTCTGAGATGATTTTACCCAGGAACGTGAATACCAGTTGAATTATGACTATTTACATTTGGTCATTTGAGGTCTCAAATGACAGTGGGCCGATATACCAGTGAAGCATTCCTTTGAGGTCAGTTTTCTGCCATCGTGTAAGAATAATCATCTCTAGGAGGCCACAAACCTCTAGATGTTATTTTTTAAACCAACAGAAGATTCCGATCAAACCTCAGGCCGCCTGGCCTGCTCAGAGCCTCCGTGCTTCTGTAGCAGGGAGTGCGGGTTTCGGGGCAGCTTCCAGATGCTGCCTGCCACACAGCTGGCTGGAATGGAGGCCCGGAGAAGAGCAGAGTAGCAGCGCATGTGCAGGGGCTGGGGTCTGCACCAGACCCCGCGCGTGCGCTCCCAGGGTCCCCGGAACAGTGACCGGCCCCCGGGGAAAGCTCCCGGCACAGGCTAGGAACGCCCTCAGTGCAGTGAGACACAGGCAGCAAGGGACCGACCGAGTGCATCTTCAGGGTGAAAAACCTTACAGCTCTCTCTTCTGTAAAGTAGCTATCAGGACTCCAAAGTATTTAGCCACAGATGATTTTTTTTTTTAATTAAAATCTTCCCTTCCTCTTTTTTTCCCCCATTTGCTCCCTTTTACACGCATTGACACTCTTCATAAAGAGCAGTGGACTACTGACATTTGTCGGCAGTAGAAACGTAGTGTTGCATTAGGCAGTAAGTTGTAGTGGAGTCCAGACCTGGCTTTCGGGTCTCTCCTCTGCTCCTCAGCAGCCCTGTGCCTCGGGCAAGTCACTCCAGCTTCCCAGTCCTCAGTGTCTCTATCACGAAGGGACAGAAAAAGCCTGCTTCGCAGTTGTCACGAGGTTCCAGACGTATGTCCTACGTAAATGTCTCCATAAACAAAACTAGTGTGCCCCGCGGTCCCCCCTGCTCCTGTTGTCCCTGCATAACTGCTAGTTACGTACGCTCTTTGCGCCTGCGCAGGTTTTCGGGCTTGGATGATAAATAAATCATACACTCGCCCTTCCCCCAGGGCTCTCCTTTTCCTCTGCCTTCTTTTTCTTAATCGACAAATCACCGCAAATGAATGCAGCGGGGGCACTCTGCAAAGAACAGGTCTGACTTCCCAGCTCTGATCTGCCACTTCCGAATTCCTGGGACCTTAGCTGAGCCTCAGGCTCTCCATTCGTATAACAGGGCTAATACTTGTCTCAGGGCTGTTTTCAGAGCTAGAATCAGACAATGTTAAGTATTGCCACTAATATAGGGCTGACACGTAATGCTCAAAAAATGTTCATGCCCTTACCCTCCTTCCCTTGGCCAACCCCAAACAAAGCAGAACTATTCCTTTATCCCTGCCATTTCTTAAAACCACCACTGTCTCTTTCTCCTGGACGGTGTTGGTCAGATTTCCTCCCAAAGGGTTTGCCTTGCCTGAGTTGGCTTCCCCGTCCCTGTTCACTTCAGAACCCATTACCTTTGCCCCCTGGCCCCACCCCCGTACAGAAACTCCTGCTGCATTTGGGTGGGATGATCAGATTCGCTTTCTGTTTACATTAACACTCCACTTGACCTGCTTGTTGATTTTGACTCCATGGGATCTCTTCCCTTGGGCTCTGGGGCCTCCCTGTCTTTGCTTCTCCTCCCCGTTCTCCCACACTGCCTTCGGGTTAGTCCACAGCCCCCACTTCCTGGGCCCACCTCCGAAACCCAGCGGCTTGCTTTCCATTCTTGGTGCTGTTGTTATTCTAACACCTCACCCAGGACTTGAACCGTCCCACCATCGATGGCTCACCAGTGTGCAGCTCCAGACATGTCTGTGTCCCAGGACCCTAGACTTCATTCTCTGAGAATTAGATACTTCCTCTAGCTTCTGGTCTTCCCCAGCTACAACCCCTTCTGCACACCCCCTTCAGCATGGCAGGCGCGGTCCTTGACAGCCAGCCCCACCCTCCTTGCCCACTTCCTCCCCTGCCATGGGCCTGGAGGCGGGCCCGGCCCTTCTCCTGCCCCCACCTCACCAGACGCCTCCCTGTTCTTAACTGTGCTGGGCTCTCTGCCCGGGAAACAGCACCTCCTCTTGTCACAGATCTTAAAGGACACTTCCTCCTGGAGTCTTCATAGGTGGCCCAGCTCTTTGGTCTTCTGCCACCAGAATAATGGCACTCCAGTCTCCTCCACCAACCCTGAGATCCCCAGGAGCAGGGTACATCTGAGTCATGTTTCCATCCCATGTGTGTGGCACATCGTGGACACACAAGACTATTTGGTGAATGAACAGAACAAATCAGTCAGTGGAAAAGAAGAGTCAGTAATCCACAACGAAAAGGTCTTATCGTTCAGCTCATCCTGGTCACATGAGATCTTGGATAATATTCTATCAGTTCCTTACTTGACATTCAAATACTTATGCCATGGCCCCCAGAATCCACAGGATGGCAACATCCCTGAGCTCTGTCCCTGGGGACGAGGTCCCTAGGATTCCTGGGGACCCCTATGGTGCTCACGTGGTCGTCCTTGAGTTCCCCTTCTTTCCTCCTCCTCAAGCACGTTCTCTCATTTCCTTCTCTGCACCCTACCTCCTTAGTCCCCTCCTGATTTCCTCTCTTCTCCCTTCCTCCCCCCAAAGGTTCAGAGTCTTGAGTCACAGTGGCCTGACCTCACTCAGGGTAGATTCACTGAATAATACTTAGGAAGATTAACTCCCCTGGTGGGTCTCTCACCTCTTCTTATGCTAAAGGTTTTCTGCCTCAGCCTTACTTGCCTCACAAAGGCCCCTTTTTATTACTTCAGCCTCCTTAGACTTCAGGCTCCAGGAAAGGGTTGGGGGGAAAGGGTCACAGTTGAATGACGGGTGTTAACAATGACAACTGTCCAGTAGAGTACACAGCAAATCACCCCTTACTGAGCCCCGATGCCCTGTTGGGTGCTGTGTCTCCTCGGTTTCATATCCCAAGTGAAATTTCATTTATTAAGCCTGAATGGTATCTTTGCTAGTATACAGTATTAAGTTGGTCTTGTGTTGCTGAAATTCTACCTTGGCGATCTTGACTGTTTGGGTATGTAGGAACTTCATTTGCCTATTGGGGAATTGTTGAGGCCCAAAAAACAGAGACGCTAAGGAGAGCAGTCAGGCCTGAGAGAAATCTAAAATTTGCCATAGTGAAGAGACCTGAATTTCATACTCTGTAAGCCCAAAAGAGAGGGGAAGGGCCAAAGAACCCCAGGAACTGACCACTTGGCTACCTTTTGGTTCTTCCACGCACTGGTCCCAAGAATGACACCAACTTCTAGCCGGAGGTGGGTCAGTATGTGCGTGCGCTTCAGTTCCTCTGCCTAGAACCCACAGAAGCGGCCTGGTCTCTGCCTGCTCCACGGCGGGTGGACAGAGGAAATGGGAAAATGTGAGAAATACTTGGAGCAACTTGGGAGCTTGAGGGAAAAGAGCTGTATGAATCCCGAGTACCACTGCTACCAATTCAGGAATGACAGAGCCAACTCCAAGGAAGGAGGAAGGAAGAAGAGGGCTCTGTGTTACAGAGCATGGGCCTCCAGCTGAGGAGGATTACAAGTCCCTGGGGGACCTGAAAAGCTTAAGTTTGAAGAGGAACCTCTGAAGGTAGAAGACATGAAAAGGAGGGAGAATACTGAGTATATATCGAGCGTATTGCGGAAGGCTATTTTCAGAGACACGGGTGTTAAAAGGAGAACCACAGGCCCAAAGTGGAGTCTCTTGTACTAGGGCCACATCACCAGACCCGGGCGTAGTACCTAACTTGACTGCACTTTCAACCTCCCCCGGGAATGTGCTCTTAACTGGTCAGTCAGGAATTTTCTGGTCAGCACCAATAAAGTAATCTGTCACATGGAGCCTCTCCATCTCGCAGAGCAAGATGAAGTAATCCACCCAATAAGACCCTTCTGTCCCCAAAGGAAGGTGGCCTTACCCACAGTAATCCTTTTCCTGCTTATGACTTTCTCGTCCTGTCTTTTAAAACCTTCATGCTTTGCTGGAGCCCTTTGGATCTCCCTCTGTTTGCTCAGTGGGATGCTGCCTGATTCCTGATCACTTCATAAAGCCAACTAGATCCTCACGTTTACTCAGTTGCACTGTGTTATTTTTAACCCTGGAAACGGCCTACATGACTAAAATAGGCAGTTTGGTTTAAATTTCGTTTCCTCGTTGTAAGGTAGTGTGGAAACAAATTCAACGTATAGTTTTCGTACCATTCATTTTTTAACAAGGGGAAAATCCATTTGTAAGCTGGTTGGGGAAAAAGTTGATCTTGATAGCAATTTGTATTTGATAAAAAAAAATGTTTCCTCATGCTATATCTTTTATACATAAGCATACTTTTTTTTTTTTTCTCCTAGTGTCAGG